CCCCCCGGGCGTCAGCAGGCAGGTGCGCCCATCGCGCGGGGACGGCCCCTGTGGCTGGGGCCCGGGGGGAGTGCGGGAGGGGGCCCGCGGGGCTGTTTCCGACCCGTCACAGCTAGGGACGCCCTTGCCCTTCGCTGCTCCAGCGGAGGAGCTGGGTTTAGCCTGGAGCCGCAGGGCTCCCGCGTCTCCCCTCTCCTGTGGCTGGACCTCGTGTAGGTCCCCTACTGTCACAGGTCAGCAAATTCCTCTGACCTCCCTCCCCCAGCACGTGTATGCCCCGTCTCTGGCTGACAGAGGAGCTGAACCCACCGTGTCCTCTCCGACCCCTCTCCTCCCTGCTCTCCAGTTCTGGGAATCCACCTCTCTCTCCTCCCTGGACACGTCGGGGATCGGCTCAGGCTCCAGCAGTGCCTCGTCCTCTTCCGTCTCCTCCACGCCGGTGACGGCCTCCCGCACCCACAAGCGCTCCGTCTCCGGCATCTCCAGCTATTCCTCCCTCTCACTGCCCCTCTACAACCAGCAGGTCGACGACTGCTGCATCATCCGCGTCAGCCTGGCCGTGGACAACGGCAACATGTACAAGAGCATCCTGGTTAGCACGGGGCGCCAGTGGTGACTTCGGGGCAGGTGGCTCTCCGGGCCCAGACGTGGGTCTGAGACGGGAGCGTGGTGGGAGGAGCCGCTGGTGGGACTCCCTGCCCGAGGCCAGCCTGGGATAAAGCCGGCGTTGGGATGCAGGGAGGGTTGGGACCACTGCGGCACAGCTTCTGCCGGTGGCTCATCAGCCATCATTTTTCCCCTCCCGGATTAACGAATGCTCTGCTCTCACAGGTAACGAGCCAAGATAAGACCCCGGTCGTTATTCGCAAGGCCATGGCCAAACACAACTTGGATGGGGACCGGCCCGAAGACTACGAGCTTGTCCAGATCATCTCGGAGGAGAGGGGTGCGTGTTGGGGTGCAGGGGCTGTGCTGGCCCGGGCTGCGTCCCCGGCTGGAGCATGGGGAGTGCCGAGGGTCGAGCGGGGCTGGGAGGGGACAGCGGAGGGGTCCCGGTGCCCGGGGGCTGCACAGTGCCAGCTCTGCCCCCCGGTTCGGGGCCCCCCTTGGGAAGAGGGCACCCGGCTCATCCTCGCCCTCGGTCGCTTCCAGAGCTGAAAATCCCCGACAACGCCAACGTCTTCTACGCCATGAACTCTGCCGCCAACTACGACTTTGTGCTCAAGAAGAGGGGCTTCTCCAAGGGGGTGAAGATCAAGCACGGCTCGAGCTCCACCCTGCCCCGGATGAAGCAGAAAGGCCTGAAGATCGCCAAAGGCATCTTCTAGCTGCAGCCCCACTGCCACCCCTCACCGAC